TTTTGACAGCATGTCTCAGCTTAGATTTCATCATGTGTTCCCTGGAGAGATCCGCTGTGTTTCAGCCTGGAAGCTGTTTACTGGCACACCAACAGATCAATCTGTATGTTAAACGTGTCCTACATGTCAAACAATATGTCAGTAGCATAAAGCAGCTGTGGTAATCAAGCCTGTTGCCTGGTATGAAGAACCTGAGATAGGAAACCACAGCTCACCTCATCACATAACATAAAAATGCCATGGCTTTTACCCTTACATTACGTGTGCATATGCCAAAGTCCAGATCGCTTTTAGGTTATACACCAATTCCTACTGTTCCCATCTGGGGAAAGAGGATGCTTTGAAATAACTCACATGTCAGTAGATGTTGTTCAAAGAGCAAAATAGTCTGTGTATGGAGGAAGTCAGGGTAGATGGATGGGCAGATGGGTCAAACAAACTTGGGACTTCAGCAGAAAAAAGGCCTTCATGTCCTGTGAGAGAAGCACACAAGAAACATACCTGGACTAAACTTTACTTGATGTTATAAATAATCTTAACATTGTGTGCTTACAGTAATTTTACTGAATTAATGAATATACTTTTTGAATGCAAAACATGATGTGTTCTCTTAACTAAACCTCATCAGATCACATCAAACTCTGACCACTTCACCACAATAACCTCATATTTATTTAGATAAAAATGAACCTGTATTCAACCCACAATGGGAAAACTTAAAGTTTTTAAGAGCAGCCAAAAAAGGAGAAAAAGAAAAATGCTCTTCACACAGTGCACAAATAATATACAAACCTATACCCTTTAAAGTGATGCATGGTATTTGGCCACATCAACTCTAACCAGGAGTTAATAGTAAGGACTGCATGCAAACATGACTTTAACATATGCACTTCACTTATATTGAATGTGAACAGTTGTGTTATTTGTATGCTCATTTGTGAGAGTGGGTGTTATAGGGACACACTCAAGGGTCAAATAAAAACACACCGTAAGCAGCTTTTTCTGGTAATTATGCCCTTTTGTGTTTCTCAGACAGCTTCATGTTCTTTAGTCAAGATGCTATCCACCAAAGAGCACTTAAGGTACACTCCGACTTCCCTAGAAAACTGAACATTTTAGGATGAGTCACTCTCTCAAAAAGACAACACACACGTTGTTTGTCTGGTAAATGGCAAATGGACTTGTATAACACTTTTTACACTGCATGTCACACTCACTTTTTCACACCACATTGTCACACTTAAGCCGAGGCTGCTATATAAAGTGTCCATCAGTATTAACTAATGAATTCATACACATTCACACACCGCTGACGTAGCATCAGCAGCAATTTGGGGTTCATTGTCTTGTCCAAGGACCCTTGAAAATGTGACTGCAGGAGCTGGGGATTGAACCCTCACCTTCCGGTTGAGGGATGGACAACTCTACCACTGAGTCACAGCCGGTTGTAAACAGCTACTTTGACCGACTGCAATTCTTTAGCCCCTATAATTATCTTGTAAAATAATCTGCTGATCCGACCAACAATGATTTAATTTAGCGAATTTGAATGCAGTTTGTGTATCCTAAACTTGGATTAGCCTCTGCGGCTATTATAAGCACATCAGTGGGCCAACCATTTTGTTCTCACAGGTCTCTTTAGTGCTGTAAACATTTACATTGTTGTTTATTTTAAATCAACCACACGTACACAATCCTGCTGTGTTATATACACATCAACGCCTCAACCATGCAGCTTCAAATGATATGAAACGATACACTTTGAAGAGCAACAAGAAGAGTGACCAGAATTTAACAAGACATATAATGTGTTGCATATTCCTTTTGTTTGCCTTTGCAATCATTTAAAGCTTTTAGTATTAGTATTGCCAACCTTTAACCTTAAGCGTGTCACTTTATATGCTTTATTTCATCTTGTTTTTTTTAATTCAACCTGAAGGTAACTGTAAACCAACTTTAATTACAAAAAAGTAACTTAAATAATTTAAGACCAACTAAAATACCTTCATTCTAAAATGGGTACTATTGAAAATGTCTACTTAACAATGCCTCATAATGCTGGGAAGTGAGAATGGCAGCTCTGTTAAAGGTTGCATCATGCAGCTAATGAAAAAGCTCTTAAAACCCACTGCTCATTACATAGCTAGCAGAGGGAAGTTAGTAGCTACATAAACTAGCATTTTGCCGCTAAAGGGAGTAAAAGTGGAGACCAACATAAGAGTTATAAGAGATTGAAATGTTGCACTTACATTCACCAGTTGGCTAAAACACAATTATTAAAAACAGTTTGAGCTGTAGATTTGAAAGTGTTGTGTTTGAAGCTTGTTTTTCTGGTCCAAAGTGGAAAAAGAAATGTTCAGCAGAAGTTTATTTCCTGGAATTGATCTTTAAGAGCTAGTACACCTGGCCTGTTTACTGTTTTGGTCCGCACAAAAACAAACTCATGATCCTTGGAATCTCTTTAATAAAATCTGAAGAACTTTGATGTAAACTGATATCAAGATTCTTTCACTACAGAAATAAAAAAAACCTGTCTGTCTCTCATACTGGCAAACCTTTATCCTGGCTCCCCTACAGCTTAGCAGGGCAAGAGTTGTTCTTGGCAGCACCCACCATGTGACAACGATTCCATTACAGCTCAGGCAGCGCTCTATTTGTCTCGCCCTGTGTGTGTGTAATGGAAGCGCTCGTGATGGGTGAGTGTACTGTGAGATGTGTGTGTGTGTGTGTTTGGTTGTGCATGGTTCTGTATAAGTGTGTGAATAGGCGGGAGGTCGCTTTTGAGGTTCTGAAGCATTTTGAAACTTCTCTGCAACATTGCCAGGTTCATCTTTTGATGGATGACATTACTTAGACACAGCCAAGGCCAGGTTTGGCTCTGATTTGAGTCAGATCTCTCTCTCTCTCTCTGTGTGTGTGTGTGTGTGTGTGTGTGTGTTTGTGTGTATTCCTGCCTGGTCTGGAGGTGCCAAAGAAAAAAAAAACATTTCCTCTTTGATTCAATTACCTCAACAGTCTGAGCTGGAGGGGCAACATGAGGCTAAAGGGACAGCACGGTCTTCCTGTCTCACACAAGTTTCCTGACTGCAGATTTTAAAAGAGAGTGCTATCAGTTCTGAAATGTGCACTTACAAGCTTGATTTCACCTCCCCCCCTTAAGGTTTAAAAGCTTTTCCCACATGCCTTCCCGAAACTGTCATCTCTGAAGTGATATGTAATCCCTCATGTGTCACAACTCATCTTTGCCAAACTCAGTTTGAGGAAAATTGCTTCACAAGTCTTTTTCCAGCTGCTAACGTGCCATCGCTAATGTCAGCACGCTAACGGCGGAGGTCACGAGATAATGGCAGAGAATGTTGTTGCTGTATTTAATGGTGAATGTCTTATTAGGTTTGACCTCATCCTCCATGTACTTGTCCACATTTAACAATGTTACAACCTCAAAATAATCTAAAGGCAATTAGTTGCACCTGATCTGAGTCCAGGGGTTCACAACAAAGCAGCTCAAGCTTTTCATATTCTTATTTAGAATGGAATATTTTCCTTTCACACCTCAAATTAGTGTGTTTTTGTGTTGTTCCAGTAGTATTCCACTTAAAACCCATTGAAATGTGCATGTTTTAAACTGAAAGTGTATGGAAAAATTTGAGGAGGAAGATCGCTATGCCAGACACTGTGTGTTAACCCTAGCTGCAGAAATGCATCATTGTGAAAACTCTTTCTGACTGTAACTTTATTGTCTTCATTTCAACTCTGAAATCTTCTAGTGCTCCCCTGACTTCACATCAGCTTTAATAATATATATATTTGAGTGCTGGCTTCTGCTGTGTAATTGAAGCACTAAGATGCCCCCCCCCAACTACTTAAGTACCAGCTGTGCCACTGATACACGAGCAGTGGTTCTTTCTGAAATCTCTCGTGTTGCTGGCAGGTGGTGAGCAAATAGATTCTCCTTGTTATTTGTTCCTGATTCACTCCAGCAATCCTGCAGTAGAACTAACCTGTGACTGTGTGTGTGTTACCTTGTCTGACATGTGCCAAACATGCAGAGTTGCAGAGTATCTGCTGTGACTGGCAGAGCGATGATTTAAGGCTGTTGCTCTTTACTTTGCATCCTCACCAGTTGAGGATCAGCGTAGAAGACCTGAGAGTTAAGAATCAGCATTGCTAATGGTATTTCAGCATACACTCGGTAAGAGCTGGAAATAGAACTATGGTGTGTATGGAAAAAGTCAGATAGATTGCTAAAAATTAATTCTAATACTACTTTGTTTAGCCACTTGCTTCATAAAACTACGCTCCATTTGTGTCAGAAAGAGTCTACTCATATCTAAACTTTTAAAATCGTCAAATTTGACCCATACACAAGATAGAGGTTGTTATTTACATTTTTAATGTTATATGTTCCATTTTTATGGCTCGAGTTTGGACCAACACATACAGCTTCGTTTTCTGTGTGTCAGCTTCTCATTATCCAATTAATGATCAAACAGAGCAGCTAGGCTTAACTTTGCATCGTGCGAGAGCAGTTTTATATTGTTTGTAGGATTTTTGATCTTTTTCGTTGGGTTTTTGAAGGAGAAATGGACAACTTAAGTCTCGATAGATCCATTGCATATATCGAGCAATTGATGCTAACAGTGTCTGGTTATGATTGCTGAGCTATGTCTTTATAATCTCTGTTTGGAGGAAAGGTTTAGCACACTGTTCATTTTAATACTTCCATAAAACAAAAACATTCAAATGTTACTTCTAGAATTATCAAAATACAATCCTTGTCAAAAAAATCAATGCTAAAATGCAGTTTCCATGCAGCACTTCCAAAAGTAACATGATCATCACAACATGAATAAACTTTAAGCATTGCATATAAATGCTTAAATACTAACTAAAGTTTTTACATATTATGATGACGTTTTGAAACTGTTGACATTATGCATGGTGAATAACCAAATAATCTGTTTGCCTAACCGAATGTGTGTTTATGTGTGTGCTTGCAGAGTGCGACTAGAGGCCTTCTCCGACAACAGCGGGAAGCTGCAGCTCTCTCTGCAGGAGATCATCGAATGGCTGACAGCCAAGGACGAGGAGCTGTCAGAGCAGCTGCCCATAGGAGGTGATGTTGGGGCTGTGCAGCACCAGAGGGAGTTCCACCAGGTAATGTGGACAATGATACACCTCCAGTCCAAACATTGCACGTCCAGTACAAATAGTGATGAAATAGAGTCTTTATTGGGCCAAAGGGAAATCTCCAAGTACGTACTTCAGACAAAGAGATTTATGTGAACAGAAGCACACAGATAGATTGAGTCTATATCTGAGATACATACATTTTGTATGTGATGGTATTGAGTGCCCTTTCCATCTTTGAAGCCTCATATCTGCTTCTTTGTGGGAGGATTTTGAAAAAAAAATGGATAGTGAGTGTTACAAGGTTTATGTGCTCTGCTCTGTGGGATTTGTGTGACGACCCTGTCACTGAGATATGAGAGGCTGGGGGTTGGGAGGCTGAGCGCTTCTGACTACTCAAAGCATTTTTACACAGCAGGTCACACCTACTAATTCACACCCATTCAAACACTGGTGGCATATAAGTGTCCATCAGTATTAACTAATCCCATTCATACATATTCATTCATGCACCGCAGACTAAGCACTTGGGACGTATGAGTTTTACCTCGGACAAGTGTCTACAGAAACTGGGGATCAAACCCCCGACCATCCAGTTGAGAGAACACTCTTCTACAGTTGTCCCAGGTTCATTCATTCATCCTTTGGGCAGTGTTTGCAGAGTAAATGGGTGAATTTCTGATGCTGGGGACAGTTGACATAGTAGATAAATGTGTTTCAGCAGCAGTGAGGTATTATGAGTTTCATGGTCTTCCAGGGCAGCAGCAAAAGGTGAGAAACAGAATAGAGCATTTTGCAGATAACAGATAGTCTTTGTGGGCAGCTTGTGTAGAACTCACAGATATTGATCACGCTGAGTTTATTGTCCAGCCTGAGTCAATATGAGATAGTTGAAACTCTCTCGGAGTTCAGCTGTCATTGATACAATTGATGTAGGTGGGGCTTTGTGCAGTGTTGTTTATATGTGGAATGAAAAATCTTTTCTTGAAATCAGTGGTTTATTTGATGCTAAAACAATCATTGTTTTAAAGAAACTGGAGAGGGAATGCGCAGAGGAGGGACGGAGACATTTTCATTACTAGCTGAGATGCACACTGAGTTGGATGTAGAACTAGTTCATAACCCAACAGCCTCCTGTTGTCTCACACATTTTGTTCTCTGTTTGGAAGTAGCTTCTGTAGTCTTCTAATATCTCCCTTGTACATTTTAAACTAACTGGGAGGTGGAAGACTGATTCACATTACAATCAATCTGTGGAGTAAGCTTTTTCATCAAGAGTAAACTCATAAACTCACTGGACAGACCACAACTGATGCTGGCTTTTGAAATGAGCACTGATAACAAGCGAGATGGCACCTGTCCTCTTTAGCCCAGCGAACAGACTGTCCAGGATTTCCAAACAGGAAGTCAGATTTTGACTCATGAGACCTCAGGATATTTTTCAAACTTTGCCTCAGTCTTTTTTCGAATGAGCCTGAACCCAGAGAAGGAGAGAAGGTAGCAGTCTTTCTGGATCTGGTTTATATAAAGTTTTCCTTTTTGCATGGCAGAGAGTTAGGTAACATTTGTGAATACAGACAATTTGCTTTGAGGTGTTCTAGCACCCACACAGTGAGGTCCACTACAGAACCGTGTCTGTTTGTAATGCAGGGCTGTCTGACGGTCAGAAGATCACAGACACACAATATTTTTTTTTTGGCCTGGTAGTCTGCATACAGATATGTATTCAGAGTCGAAGTACATTTTTCTTAAAGTGCTTGCTTACATTGTCTTTCAAATAATAGTGAACCCCTCCCAATCTTTACCTCAGACAGACTCTGCCTCTCTGAGAGACTCTTATTTCCAACCTGATCAACCATCAATATATGACGAGTTGGGGATGAGATCGTGTTGCTTTTTCTACCCAATAATGTTTTAAACCTGTTCCCAGCTAACTTTGAGATGTTCCATTATTTATTTCTTTAAGCATTTCACAACTTAACCAGTCTTTTGTTGCCACTGTCCCAACTATTTTAAACATATTGGACAATTCGCATTCAAATAGGACATAAAATGTCCCAAACACAAAGAGATCTCTAAGTTTGAACACCTTTTTCAATCAATCATGAGTCTCAATGTTTTGAAAATAATCACATTCTGTTTTTGTTTGTATAAACTTCTTTGAATTTGGGGTTGTAAAAATTAAGTGGTCTAATTCTGCATCTCTGGACTGCTGGAAAAAGCATAATAAGACAGTTTGTATTTGACATTACATTCATCTGAGCTCACAATTTTGCCGTCTTGAGATTTGTATAACCATGCATGCTGTTCCCTTTCTAATTCTCTGCTGTGGCCTGGGGGGATTTGTTTTAAAATGGCAAACTGTAACACAAACACACAATCTGCACATTATAAGCGTGATTTAAAAAAAAAAAAAAAGTATTCATTCCCTCTGAGGTAAATAAGCATTTTGATTAACACTGAATCACATGAGGATTACCTGCTTCACCTCAGTTTCAATCTCTGTTTGACTTTCTGATGAAGTTCTGTCAGTAAATTATAATGAGAGTGCAAAGAAATAACTAGAAACCAAAAATTGTAGCATCTCAATGCGCTCAAAATACCAAACCCAGAGGTTATATTACCTTGTTGTCAGTATCCAGCACTAAGATGATAGCAATGGTAACGATTTTAACATTTCTTTTTAAATATCAAAGATTAAAGCTTAAGGGAACATCAGTTCTGGTTGCTGACAGCTAGCCTTGTTCTCCTCCTCCTCCTACTCCTCCTCCCCCTCCTCTTCCTCCTCTTCAGATAAGTCCTCCATGGTTCAGCGATTCAAACTGGCTGTTTAAATCCCTTCAAGGGCTAGCATGGATAGAAGGACACACATCCACAGACCTTATTGATCATGGCCGAATCAGTGCTTTTTAAAATTCCCGACATACATCTTGCGTCTTTGATCTCATTTTTAAACCCTCACACTTCTTTCAGTTATTTTCTCTTATTTTCTCTTCCTACATCGTCTCAGGTCTGTGATGGCGGGTTCAAACTGTGCCTGATCGATTTCAGTTTGTCCACCATTAGAAAGCTCGTTTTGGATATATTCACCTTTTTAAGAGTGTAACAAAATAAAATGAAATTCTATTGATTTCCACAAGGTAAATTAACCTCTTAAGACCCAGACGATATGCTTTTTTGACTTCCTTGAGTTAGAAACCAGTACATGTAATATGCACTATCTTTAAAGAGAAAGCTGCAGGATGAGATGGTTTTACTGTAAGAAATAACTAAGTTATCAGTTTACTAGTTGTAGAAAGCAAATGCAGTATATGTTAAACCCTTATATTTATTCTTTTGGTAGACAGAAACTACATGTAAATTTGTCACATTACCAAAAATCAATACCAATGTAGACTTAAAGGTTACTATGGAAGCCCTAAGCAGACATGATTCTGCACATTTTATTAATCAGTTTTCCCATGATAACAAGTAATCGGATTTTTTTCTTAAGATTGTGACTTATTCATCCTGTAACCCCGGAGTTGCTAAAGCACAAAACAAAAACCTCATTGGTGTGTGCACTGACAGCACGGCATCCTGTGGTCAGGCTTATCACAATGAACACACAGCCTATTGTTTTGCTTTTTAGATCTCCTGAAAATTCTCATCATCATCAGGAAAACGAGCTTTGATATCTCGATTAAATGAGAAAATTAAGTCAAAATGTTGAGAAAACAACCAGAAATGACTCAGTATCATAGAAATGGACTACAATAAATATATGGATACATGTCTGCCTATAGGGCTTCTGTAGATACTACATGCAAAGACTTGTTTCTTCTTTTTAATCAGTGTTGTAGCTTGTCACAAATTCTATATGAACATAAACTACAAACATTATGAAACGGTTTCAACTCTTTAATTTGTTGAGGTTTTGCATCTTGTTCTCTTTCTTCTTGGGTTTGGCTGTAGGTTGACTTGGCAGAGACAGCTGCCATCTTGTTTTTACCACTGTTGTAGTCGAGTCAACAAACCCTCGAGTCCCCAGTGCTCAAGTCCAAGTTGAGTCCGAGTCACCAAAGAAAAATCTGAGTCCAGTTGAGTCCCCACTACCTGATTCTGAGTCCAAGTCCGAGTCGTCAAAGTTGAGTATGAGCCGAGTTCCAAGATGGGCTTCAGTCCTCCACTTAAACACATTGATGTGATTATTTGAATATGTTAAATGCTTCTAAGACGAGCTTTAACTTTCTATTACATGTGAGTCTTGTGTTTATACTGTGCCTCAGTCTTAGAGTGTAGTTTGTATGGTGTTAAAACACAGAGCCATCAAACGACATCAAACAACACGGGAAAATTGTTCTGTCTTCAGAGCTCAGAAAAGATTAATAACCAGCCAATGAATGAAAACTCTGTTTCGGTTGACCATATGCATGTGCACACATAAACCAGTAACTCTCTGGTTCCTGATAGAAAACGATTTATATCTATCTATATACTCGTTTCTATCAGATTTCATGAATTGATCAAGCTTGTGACTTCAGAGGTTGCTCAAGCAGATCAAAAGAAATTAAATTTCTTTCCTGTTTGTTGTTTGTTGGTGGGACACTCATAATCTCAGGATGTCTTTTAGGGAGGAAGTCTCTCCACTGAAATCTTTATAAGTGACATGTTTTAAAGCCCAGAAGGTTGGTAGGACCAGGGACCGCTCAGCAGGCACATGTGTATGTCTCTGATGTTCTCTTAGAGTGTGGCATAAAGAAATTAAGAAAAAAAAAAAGATTATAATGCCAAAATAAACCATAGCTGAATTAGAAATATCTATATTTTTGTGAATAAACAATATTAAGTAAAGAATACTAGATTCAGATTAACACAAAATGTACTTGGATGTGTGTGTAAAGGATAGAACCACAAGAAGAAATGGTTTTCGATTACTTGTACGACTGAACTTCTTTGGAGAGACGTGACCTAAGATGCTCGGGATTTTCTTCCATTTCCTGTTATATCATCTAAACTGTGGATGATGTATCACAGGAAGTGGGACT